ACACACACACACACACACACACACACACACACACACACACACACACACACCAAGTGTTTTTCTTTCTTATTTTATTTTCAATTTGTAGTCTTGTATCCCAAAATGATGCTGACTCAAATTAAATCTGTTTATGTCTGCAGTAGTACTCCCAAAGACCTAAAGCAGATTTTAATGTGTAACATTGTTGGAGTTTCCTTTTAATATTGGCGTGGATTAACATGAATGAACTTCAGTTGTAAGAATCTCCACTTTTGAAGTTCTCTCTTCATTATTTAAGATATATGATATATGGACAGTATATACTGTGTGTGTGTGTGTATATATATATATAATCTATGGGACTAGTGGGCCCACACATGCTGTAACACCCCAATTAACTGTTTTCATTTGATTCCAATTCCCCAGAAGGATGGATATTAATAGCTGCTGGAACAGTCTCTGCTTTTATAATTCTTTTCATCCTCGTCTCTGTCTCACTGTGGATCAGGTGAGTTGTAAATCATTCAAATGAACATCCAATGTTTCAATAAACAAACAGTCAAGCGTGCTTATTTGTCCATTTGTTTTAGTTTTTTCATTCATCTTCCCAACCAGGAACACGAGGGCCCCCAAGGAACCACCTGAGCCTGTAAAGAAGCCAGACGACAGCACACAGGTGAGGGAGGTCAAAGCACTGACGAGACAGAACAAAGTATCAGTTCTTGTTTTGTTTGACCAGGAGTTTCTGAATCATTCCTCATGTTATGTGAGCTAAAAGTTAGATTTGTCAGACTTGTTTCACCCTGTTGTTAAGTAACTGAGAGAAAACTGATTGATTGAAAGATTAATTGATCGTTCATATTCCCAAAGTTTCTTCTCTTAAAAGAATACTTCCTGCTGGTGCTTTAACCATCTGAACCCCAAAAGCCTTCTGCCGGGTTTAAAAAGCATGTTTTCTTAAAAACATTTTTTCACAGCCAGAAGCTATCGAAACGGACGTTAACTTTGGATTTCCAACTTACCGACAGCCCTTGAACACGTCATGTGCGTTGAACGCTTCCTTCGGGAAAAGCAACTAAATCGAAGCTTGAAATTGGGATATTTCATCAACAACACTGTATTCTACATGTCTTATTTAAAATATCACCCCAAATGCCAGATCGTAAGATCGCATCCCACTCATTCCACCTTTTCATTACAGTTGAGTGTCAGCTACACAATTGTACACAAACTTACAAATAATGTTATTTGTCTAATATCTACAGAAACAACCAGCAGAGAAGAAGGATGGCCTTCACTATGCCAGCATCAACTTCTCTAAGAAACGAGCAGATCCTCTCCACTCCAATATCACACCATCTCTGGCCCCGAGACACAAAAAGGAAGAGAACGTGGACACCGTTGAGTACGCTACTGTCAAATTTAACAGTGGCAATACACTCCCAGGGTGAGCAGCTCTTCACACAGGAACATTATCCTCAGACTACAGATTAAAGGTCTAGAAGGTGTTTGAGTGTCCTGGCCTTTTATTTAGAATTGACCGGACTTTATGCTTGGATTCAGCTGCTGTGTTGAGTATAGTTTGTGTTTATGGTGACATATATCTGAACCCCCCTTGCCAGGGGTGGCCTCTGTCACCACTATCCTTTGAATTGACCATTGAACCACCAGCTATAAACAATTACACTCATTACATGTCCACATATGCAGATGATTTATTTTTGTATCTATCTAAACCTTTACAATTCTTCCTTGACTGATGGATTCTCTGGCAATGGATGGATTTGGTAAGCTTTCAAGATATGAAGTCAATGTTAAAGAAACTAAAGCCTTGACTTTGAACCCATGTATACTTTACAGTTGTGTCACACCTGAAGTTAAAGCTGCGTTCATGTTTAATTGGCCAATAGAGGACATAAAACACCAGGATATAGCCAGGAAATAACACAGATATCCATATGGTGAATTGGATACTGACAGTTTGGCTAGCTAGCTAAAGTTGCTATGAAACGTTAGCTTGTCATAGCATGAGGGTAAAGTACACTGATCTCAGACCTGATTGTTTCCTGTAGCGTGTTCAAGTTGTAACCAACAAAAGTCACTCGTGAGCTTTCCAACCATTGTATCTGTTTCAAACAGAACCATCCTACTGTAACTGTAATTTAAGAACTTCTTAGAAATAGATTTTAAATAAATGACGCTGAGGCCCGTAGGGGGGTTAACTGTTGCTCATCAGGCCGCCAGGCTGGCAATACACTGGTGGAAACCCTGCAAGGAAACTAAAGATTGATAATAGCCCGTACAATGCCCATCATTCCTCCATTACCTCCTGTCCATACGCACCATAAAGGGATTTGCACCATGAATACAATGTACAAGATGGACAAAACAGTCCTTGTAGATGCAAAAACACATTACAAACTTCAGCTGAAACTAATAGGAATCTTAAGCAGTCTTAGACAAATGAAGTGCATATCCTCTAAAGTTAGTATATTAAGTGCAAAACTCCTTCTGTGTGAGCTTCAATGGAGGAAGGAAGAGAGAACTGTGGATTTTGTTCTGACTAGGAAGAGATCATTTCACAGTACGGACCACAGTGAGCTTTAAATCAACGTACATATGAGCGAGTGTTGTCCTAAGATTCACCGATCATTAGATATCCATATTTGATAAACCATTAGGGTCGAGTTTTATGGCTACTGTTTCACTACTTGTTTCATGGCTTTTAAAAATTGTATTCGTCCCCCCACATCTCTCAGAAACAGCCAGGAAACTGGAGAGGATCCAGATGCATTGTACAGCACAGTCAACAAAACCTCTAATAAACATGAAGACCAGAATCTCTAATCTCCTCTTCATACACGGTAATTATTCATTTTCTTACATGTTTATTTAAGAAGGTAGCTACATTGAAAGGTTTCTCAGGAGATACGTGTGAAGACAAAACATTTTCAGAAGCAAACTTAATAATTTGAACTAAACATGCAACAGGGTTCACTCTGGGTTTTTTCGCCCAGCTTAGCACGACTTTAACGAGAGTGTCGAGTAGTCATGACGGAGTGCAACAGACAGTGAACATGATTTGTGGAACACGTTTCTGTGCTGACCTTACAAATGTACCTCCAATCTTCACAGGTCTTTTTTTTTTTAAACTCTCATTTGGGCTTCCTCCTCCTCTTTCCGAGCGTCCTCGCTGACTCTCTGACAGCAGCTATTTCTGCAATGCGACCGTGAAGGCACAATCAAAGCCAGCGGTGTCACCATCGGGAACTGAAGCCGGGGTCTGCAGATCAACATTCTCCACCCGCTCAGTGTGACGTACAATAATGAGAAGTTGTTAGCAAAGAGTTTCGTAATTATTTTATTATATAATGCATCTGGCTGTGGGATTATCCCTGGATGCTGGTAGTATAAAGTTTCATACAAATATACTGTCTATGTATAATGGATTTAAGGCTCTCTACTGTAAACCAACATAAGAAATGGTTTATTCTGACTCGGTCTCAGCAGCTGATATTGATTAATTAATTATCAGTTAGAATAGCTTTAGGAAAGAAACGCCATGCAGGCAAATCTGTTGTTTTTCATGCACTGGGAAAGAGATTCTGGTCTTTCAGACTAGTGGAAAGAAAACCTGCACAATACAGATCTACATGTTTATTTTACTACTTTATTGATGCGTAGATTTCTGCTAAATGCACCAAAAGTTACCGTTAGGTAATGCCTCATTTGCATATTTAAACACAACATTTCAAAAAACTTGAAATACAAAAAAATGATTGTCTTTATGTTTTATAAGTAATGAACTGGTGAAGTTTCATGTTGATATCTATGAGTTAATCATTTTACCCTATTCACCAGTAGTGTCTTCAAGCATATCTTACATTCTTAAAAACATGACAAACATGTATTTTTTAAGGGTGTTGACAGTATTTTCTGATTGATAGAGTGATAAAAAGAGAAATCAAAAATGTCCTGTATGAAAACCTTTGACTCTAATATGTCATCAAAATAAAACAAGAACTTTGAATCCAATGTTCAGGTTTCTGTTCTGAAAATCTGAACATATTTGAAAAGCGAATGCCTCATTTGCATATTTAAAGACATTAATACAAAAAATAATAGCCTTAATGTAATCGACTGGGGAAGTTTCATGTTGATATCAGATACATTTGTTACCTTATTCACCTGCAGTGTTTAATACCTTTAACTACAGTTTTTACAGCATGTAGCCTCAACTTCATAGCCTGTCAGTCAGCGGACGGGTGAGAAGTGAAAACCCAAAGTACGATCCGCAGTGGTGAAATACTCGACTACTGTACTTAAGTACCTTTTTACATAGTTGTACTTTACTTATTTACATTTTATAGTCATTTCTCCATAATACTTCTACTCCATTTCAGAGGGAACTATTGTACTTTTTACTTTAAAGCTTTTTAAAATGAACACAAAACATAAAATCAACGATTAAATTATGATATATTACTAAACGTTAAGCTACATGTGGACAGCAGTACATACAGTAAAGTAATTAAAATGAGTCCCACTTTAACCAGCTGCAACATTACATTAATGAACACAATAATGCGTCACTAATTATAATTCAATAATATAACACGTATGATTCTGGAATGAGCCATTCTGCATAATGAATACTTGTTTACTTTGACTTGAGTGAGATTTTGAATGCAGGATTTTTTTTTGTAACAGTAGTTTCTTACACTGTGGTTAGTTTTACTGAAATAAAAGATTTGTATTTCTTCCGATTCTTAGAATCAGCGTAATTGTAATTCCACACTCTGCCACTAGATGTCGATGAAGAGCAACATTTCACTGATGGCAAATCAACTCTGACATCCTGTCGAGTACATTTCACTCTTGATCTATATTATATATTTGTTTCCCTCTTTTAAAACAGTTTAACAGTCAGTCAAGTAACTCTTGTGGTTCTTACTTTTTTCTATTTCATTTATTTAATTTGAAAGGCACCATGTAAAGTTTTTTTCTTTTTTTTATGTATTCCCTTTGGCCTTTGATCATGAGATGTGAATCTGTCTGATTTCATCCTCTGGCCATAATCACTTGAACTGATGACACTAATTAAATCAGTATAACTGTAATCTACAACGTCCATATTTGGTTAATTAAAGCTACTACAAGGAGCTTTCACCTTGTTTATTTTGGCGGCCCCTGTGGACTAAAGCGGTAGTGTTTCTGAGCACCTTTAGAAAAGCTCTCGTTTTACTGCAGCAGGGTCTGAAAGTCTGCCCCTCTCAGTCCTGGTTCTGGTTCTCCCGGGCCTCCCTTTCCCTCCAGCGGGCCCAGCACTACAGCCTGGGTCTCCAGCAGCGTGGTGTCCATGTTGGCTCCCACCATTGATCACTTTCTTGATTTGATTCATCCAAACAGTCTCTTCTGTTCTTTAAAACCCATGATCTTCAGCGGCAGTGTTTGAATCCCAGCTTTCTGTATCGGCGCATCCTTTTCCCCCTGAACATAGTATATTGATCCGGTGTGTGAGGCCTTCTGTTAGAAAGTTAAAAAGGGAAGCACCAGTTGAACCGGTAAGTTCATAGATGCAATGCAGTTCTCTACTCCTTCACTTCCGATTCCATAGTGACGTTGGAGTTGGGCTTCCGTTGTTGAAAGTTGCTCAGTGGACCATGAAGCCAAAGAGGCTCGACTGCAGAGTGATGAAACGTATCCGGATCTTCAGGGGATCTTCCGCATCCATGGACCTGTAGAACAAGCGCTCGGGCTCGGGCTCATGGAGAGCTGCAGGGAGGATTTTTGAAGGCCAACAGGAAGTAGGCATCGTACTGGTTCTCTCGACAGAAAGCCAACGGGATACTTTCATTGGCTTTTGAATCATTCCAGATAATAAACTTTGTGGCAAACAAACGTATTGACACTCGCTGAACTTAATCTGAACCTCTAATGCTTAATGAATTCAATGTTCAGAGTAAAAGATAAAATCTGGAAATAAAGAACAGAAAGAGTTAAATTTGACTAAACAATCATGGATTGATGGGAGAGTGTTTCGTGTTGATTTTCCACTCGTGGGGGAGCTGTAGTGTGACACAATCAGCCTTCATCTCTCTGATAATTAACACTCTGCTCTTCATCCTGTTCAGTTAAACTGCCTCGAGGTTCACAGGTTGATTATGTTCCTGCTCCGTCACTTCACCTGCAGACTGTTTGACCTCCTGCCTCTGTGCACATCTGTCTCATCCTCTGAATGCTCTTCTCTGGTGTCGGTACTAAACAGGTTCGGTAGCTTATTCTCCATTTTAAAGTTTATAGAGTTTGAAAAACACAACCTAATCGTGTTGTGTGGGTTGTTATTTTGCTCACTCTGCATACTAATGATCAGAGGAGGAAGGAAATCGAGCTGCTTAACAGCCTGATATCGATCTTCTGCTTGCTGACAGCAGAGGAAGTGCATCTTTAAAGACGACGTCTTTCTTCATTGTAAGTAGAAGCGGTTTATTAATGTGACTGTTTTTGTACACGTCTTGTGTACGTTATTTAATCTGCTGACATGTTGTATCTTCTCGCATACAGGGAGATGAGAGGAGCAGCTATGAGTTTAACTGCAGCGGCGAGTGGATTTGTCGTCTTCCTTCTCTCTGTGTCAGGTACTGAACAACTACACTTACATTTATCACATTGAAAGAGGGGAATCTGGGAAGATGTGGGTCTTGTAAAAACACGCTGAAGGTCACAAACAAGTGGTTGTGTGGAAGGAAAACCTTCCCAGAAGCAAATGTGAATTTTGTGTACAGACATTGAGCATTTTATCCTTTGTTTCCATTTGTGATGGATGATCAGTAAGGTCTGGTTTCCTGTTGGCCAGCGTCTTCTGCTCTTGTGTGTTAAGCACTTTGACATGCTGTAATCCGAGAATGTTGAGGCTTTTATTCATAACTGGTCCCTCCTCGCCCTGTGAACACCTCTTGCCCTCTTTAATCTGTTGTAAAGTCCACCCTGGTTGCAGAAGCCCTACTTCATGTGGCTGACGATTACTTTCCGTCTACTTTTATCAGTTTTTATTCGTTTTTTTTGGAGGGTTGCTGGACTCACAGTGAATCACATTCTGACTGAACGTGTCTTCTATCATCATACATCTGCACCAAACCCTGCTGGTTCCTTGCGTTCTCTGACCTCAGTGACGTGTTTCCATGCTCTGTGATATGAAAGCAGCTTTTATCTCGTCTTGATATCGTAGCTGCTGCAAACGGTTTCCTTCACCTCTGCAGTTACTTTTAGATTTCACTCTTAACCGAGCAGCAACCCGACCGCAGTGTGAACAGAGAGGAAACGAACCAGGAAAAGACTCATTCATGTTACCCCAACTCATTTATTATTTATATATATGTACGTCTTCCTCTCTGAGCACTGACCGTGTATCACAGAGTAATACAAGATAAAATAATACCTTTTAAATAGGAGTTGGAAATGTGTGAGTGTGTGTGTATAAATACAGTATGTCTCTCTATCTATCTATATCTATATATATCTATATATCTATATATATCTATATATCTATATATCTATATATATCTAT